GATTTAATAAATGTAGACTGTAGGTTTTCACCTTTAACTCAAAATTTTATTGAGTCTCCCATAACAGAAAAAGAAGTATGCCACCTTCAGTGCAAGTCTGAAAATGATCTTACAAAAATGCTATTTGTACAGCATTTCTGGCATGCATTGTGCTTATGTAAACATGACATATGTTAGGGTGACCATGTCCTGGAATCCCCAAAAGAGGACACTACTACGCAGGACTTGTGCGCGAAATTTGGAAGTTTTTTTGGGTCAGGTGGAGAGTTTTTTATGTGCTTCTAACTCAGTCAAACCCATATCATCACCGGTGGCCCAAGTCATTTTTTGACGAAAAGGAGTTTTTGGCCTAAATCATCTCTTGATAATGCTGGCCATCTCTGGCCATGGATCATGCCATGAGATGGCCAGCATTATCAAGAGATGATTTTGGCCAAAAACTCATTTTTGTCAAAAAAAGACTTAGGCCATTGTGTCCACGTAGATTCTCATTCATCAAGGTCATGGTTATCTCAAAGACGTTTCGACTTGCTTATCCGAGAAGCTTCTTTAGTTCTAAAATCGCTACTAAGGGGAGCAGGTATTTCTCTTATTGGATAAGGGGAAAAACAACGACCGGGAGGAGTTGGAACGAATGGGTCATAGAAACCCATCTCCAGGTGATTATCCCGAGAGTCGTTAACCTGAGAGGGTCGTTACCTACCCCTTCACATGGTCCCAGATGTGAATGTTTGCGGAGCTTCCTGAGGAGAGAGCTAAGAACTGCACTGGAAGTGCCAGAGAGGTTATGCCTGAGTCCGCCTCCTCTGTTCAGAGAGGGTTTCTCCAGTCTAGTGAAGATGGCTTCTTTAACTCCTCTTTCAACGGGATATCGTATGGTCACCCTAACATACGTACCTTCCATGCCGTGCTGAGACTGAGCTGCAGCAGCTGACGACTGGCGAAGAGCTTCGAATACATTTGACTCCTTAGATTTGATGACGTGCCCCGTTGACAAATGTTTAAGCATGTGTTTGCTGGTGTTTCCACCTTTGCATGTTATCACTGCTTTAGCTCGTTTCTGCCTACTTTTCTTACTTTTCTTACTTATGGTCCGCCATGTTTTTTTCTCCGTCTCTGTTCCTGTTTGCGTAGACTGGCACTCGCGACACCGTTTTTCAAGGCACCCGGAAGACAGGAATCATTAAGGGAATTGTTCCAATAAAACATAAATGATGTCGATGGAATAAACCATTTGGAACCGGTTCTCGATTCCCATCCTTACCGGTCTAGACGAAATACTTCTGCAGGATGTCCTACCTGGTGGGTACCTACCCCTCTTTTTCAAGGAGTGAAGGGGGGTCTGTTTGCAGAGGCACCTGTCACATCTATCACTTTCTGCAAGTGTGTTTGTCAGTGCCTACACCTCACATTTCCAGGCACACACACACAAACACACAGGAGCCCACACAAAGCCGGCATCATCCTTACAAGCGGCGGCGGTGACAGCTGCAAAGATCTGACACAAAAAGATGCGCTATCTGAGAAACACGGAGGAGGCAAGGTGAGAGAGCCTCAGCGGATTAGAGGGCGGCTATCTCGCTCGCCCAGGGCCCGCTCTGAGATCCAGGAGGCAGCCGGCACAAGTCGGAAGCTCGAAGGCCACTCCGCCCACAACTGGACGCCAAGCCTCAGCGAGGATCTGTTGAATTTACGACCCTGCCTGGCCCTGCTTTGCTAACCCCCCTGCCCCTCTTCTCCGTTAGTAAGACCTTGACGGGTCAAAGGTTGCCGTATTCTCCCTGCCTGCCGAGCTCGCTGCTCCGATGGCTCCAGGGCAGAGCACATTGTGTTCCCAATGGGACACCGGTAGCCATGGAAACCTTTGAACTCGGCTAGCAGGAGGAGGTGAGGGATGAGAGCTGGGATTGTAAGGTAATGCTGCTCTGCCTGCGTGATTGACAGCTTCCAAGAGTCTTTATATATTTATCACATACAGACACACAGACACACACACATACTTAAGCTACATCCAAAAACACACACAAACAATGTATACAATCTCATGCTAAGTCGAGCCGACACACTCACACACACACACACACACACACACACACACACACACACACACACACACACACGTCTCCTCTGTTTGACAGATGACCTCACGCTCTGTGTCACTGAGCCGCAGCGTCTGCCTCTGCTGGGAGTAATGGTGTCCAGAATGACATGTTATGACGGGAAGAAGTGCTGCGCCAGGCCAACACACTCACACTCACACACACACACACACACTCGGGTACCGAGCACTATCAAATGGGCTTAGAGTGATATTAAAAGCTTGATTCTGATTGGTCCAAAGCTGATAATGACTAATGCTGCGTTGCAGTTGTACTCAGAAGTTGAGATTTCTGAGCTCCGAGTTGGAAATTCATCTGGAACGGCCCCCTGAAGTCAGATTTTCAACCTGGAAAGCCAGACAATAACGACTTGACGACAACGTCATATTCTAAGATGAAAATTGAGGTGAAAATTAAAAAAGTTAATAATATAATGTTTTACTGCCCAACGTCTAACTGTGAACACGGTGCTATGATGTTTGTAAGAGTGAAATACTGTATTGTGCGTTGTTTACAACTGGTATCGCTAACAACAACTAACAACAACTGACAACTGCTAACAACAACTGACAACGGCTAATAACAGCTGACAGTTGTAAACAACAGCCAACAACGGGTAACTGTAGGCGTCCATCTTGGTTTTCTGGCTTGTTAACTTGAGGACCGTCAACTCGGGTGTAGTGTCATTCCCAGCTCCGATATCCCAGTTAACTAGAATGCAGCATTAGTCTCAGCTTCAAAGGTGGTGTATAATTATCACTTTTAATTCATTCAATCATGATGATCATTTAAAAATCAATCAAAGGAAAGGAGTTTGACAGATTTCACCTAAAATCTACAAATAATAATGTTTAACTTTGGAATATCTGTGATCAAACACCATGTATTCTGGAAACTTTTTTAATAATCTTAATACACGATGGAAAATCTTCAATTTACTGAAAGTTTCTATAGAAGATCAGCCATAAAGAGTGATAAACTATCAATTAACTGCAAATAATCTGTGGAACTCATGACTATTAATGAACCTAAATCTGCAAATAATTGTGATTTAGTTTGAAAAATCTGCAATTAATCAATCATTTAAGCAATTTACTGCAATTATCAGTGGTTAACTGTTGAAACTGGCATTTAAGGGAAATGAAATAGAGATTTATTAAAGAAAAACGGAGAAACTAACTAATCCACAGTAATAAATCTGCAAATAGTCACAGTTGACCATGAAAAGTCTGCACTTTATCTCAACTATATAATATAAATCTGTAAATAATCTTGATTTACTTCAAAAAATCTGCGATTAATCTTGTAAAAACTGCTGAAAATTTTAGATTTATTGTCAAAGGTAAACATTTAATTTCTCTCGCTCAAACTCCTGAGACCTTTTTATCATTTTTAACCGACCTTTAGAGGAACTCAGATTTACCCGGCCCACCTAAAGGGAGGAGACCCTTTCATGTGATTTTAGTATGGAGGCAGACTTCACAAAAACATCTAACCTTTAAGAAAGAAAGAAAGAAAGCAGGATGGCCAGATGGAGAAGGAAGAGGAGAGGGAGGGAAGGAGGGAGGAAGGGAGGGAGGGGAGTGGGCAGGAATAGAAAAAAAAACCTTGCAGGAGGAAAAGATAGAGAGGGGAGGGAGGAGCTGACACCTTGACGGATTGATTGAGATCGCCCAATACACGGTGTTGCCTACAGCCGAGATTAGCAGGAGGTCTGGGTCAGCACAATCTCTGTGTGTTAGATAACTCCCCCCCACCACCCCACTCTGCCTCGCAGCTGCAGCTTGATACTGCACCTCAGCGACACAATATTTTACTGCATATCTCTCAAACTCCACATTGGAGACGGGGATGTGTGTAGTGCATGACTGTGGGGCTCGGTATCCATGGCAACCCCAGCCAGGTGCACCGGTTTCATATGCGATTCAGGTAATTCAACACCACGATGAAAAGCATGCATATAAGGTCAGTGGTATTCAAATGGACCGCATGTTTCGTATTCAGGCTCTCTCTGGACGCTGGCCTGACGCCCCCCTCCCGTATCTCCCAGAATGCCATGCTTGACTGGCAGGTATGATATTTCCGCTCGGTTTTGATTGAGGAGCGCATTTAAATTCAGTCGTGATTCTTCTTTTTTTTTTTTTTAAGGGGCCGTGTGATTAAAAAAACATGCACAAAAAAAGGAGGAAAGAGTGGAAAAGATAGGAGGAGATAGAGGGGAAAATCAGGGGAAATAGGACGTGTCATAGGGCTTGCTGTCGAGGGGGTTTTGGAGGCTTGGGTTAAGCCAGGGGGGCTTTGACAGCTGGGTTTAAGGAGAAAGGAAAGGGGCTATGGATTGGAGTCAGGTCTCTACTTCATATTCTGAAGATTAAACTCCTATCCTGCCTCCTCCTCCTCCTACACCGTTTTGGACGTCTGTGGCATCTCTCTCTCTCTTTTTTTTTCGCTCTTGCTGTTTGTGGGTGTTTCAGCAGTGATTTACAGCCAGGGTCGCTGCTGCAGAGGAGAGCACTCCAGTTTCAAACAAATGCAATCAGATATTCTCCACCAGATCTCCTCAGCATTAGCAGTCAGACGCAGAAATTTGCTGTAATAAGCGGGCGCTGCCGAGTCCTCCGATGCACTCCAAAAAACAGCGCCGTTAAAGCGATAGAGAAGTGAATCACGCCTGTTTTTGACAGCGTTTATTTTAAAGGGGTGATGCTCTGTAAATGAGCTCAATCAAAATGTTTAGTGCATTCATAATAGTCCATTTGAAATGCCTTGGGTTTCAGTTACAGAAACAAGCTAATGGCGCCAAATTGGTTTGTCTTAATACAATTTTTTGGAGCCAGAAAATCCACAGAAAATTAATAGACAAAAATTTTAATGACTGCGTGGGAATAAAAAATCATTTTCCAGAAATAAATGCCAAACTGTGCTGGTTACAGCCTCCAACATGTGAATGTAAGCTGAAATTTGAAGCTTCTTTGACTTTTTTTTTAAGTAATTTTCCACTTTTAAAAACTGAGGATCCAGAGAAGATGAAGAACATCTACACAAGAGGGATGATCTTTTGACTTTCAGGCTGTATTGCATGAAAAACAGACATATCTGTTGTGGAGGTCACCGCATTGGCTGAGAATTTCATCTCTCCATCCACAAATGAAGGTTAAAACTGTACGAAATAAAGAGAAAATCATATACACTCATGATCCTGAAACATTGTTCTTTCCTGTTGTTTGACCAATCAAAAGCAGACGCTCTTTTTGGAAACCTTCAGGTCAAAACTGCACTATGCAAAGAGAAAACCATATAAACCCATATCAATAACGGTACTGATATCTCTCAAGAAACCCACACCACTTTTTTGGGTGTTGTCCTTGATGAGTCAAGTAAAGAGCCTCGGTATAATTAATAAGGTCTGTCCCCGATCAATCCCTCTGCTCACTTGTCTCTGTATTATAACTTCCTATTTCCTTATATGAACTATTGTAATATTATATGTTGTGCAACGTATCCAACTTACATCAATAAAATATCATTAATCAAGAAAAGATTCTTAAGTGTGATATCTAGATCGAGCAAACACGAACCTTCTGCACCTCTCTTTTCTAAATACTCCATCTTACCGATCGACAAACTCAATGTCTTTCACTTTTGTTTGTTCATCAATAACAAACAAAACCTTCCTGAACCTGAAACTTTCCCAAACTTTTTTACCTTTTCATCTCACCTTCACCCGTACTCAACAAGACAACACGCACATCTTCAGTTGACTTCCTGTCAAACTACTAGTCATCAGTCTAATATCACTTTTAGAGGACCAAAACTGTGGAATAATCTGGATGCATCTATAAAATCAATATCATCCCTCAAAGCCTTAAAGTTATCATTAAAATCTCATCTGATCATGTCTTAAACACATTATTATTGATTATATCATGATCATGTTTCTTTCCTTTCTATGAATACTTATATTGTTTCTATCACTGTTTGATGATAAGTCGGTGTTCTATTTATGACAATTTGTATCTGTTTGACCTTTCCCTAATCACTGTATATTTATAACCCGTCTACGTCCTGATTACTGTGTTGTTTGCACCCTATGCCTTCACTACCCTGACAGGAGTTGAACTCTGTATCAGCCTATCGCCTTCATTCCCTCCTTGCACTGTTTTTAATCTGTACTAAATAAATACAAATATAAAACTGTCCAGGGAATTGTCAAATTTGGCATTTCTTTTTGGAAAACATGGACGTCATTTATTCATGAATTATTTTAGTTTGAGACAGAAATAAGTGTCTCTTTTTTTAGATATGAATCTGCATCTACTTTTTTTACTGTTGCATAATAACAAGTAAGCCTTACATAAAGCAAATAGGAATAATGCATCCAATAATCTTAAAGTGCACAGCTTACATCGTCAAATGCACTCATAGATAAGCAAAGCAGCTTCTTTTTCACTAATGTAAAGTTGCATGCTCTTTATCTCTAGTGGAAATAAGTGTACAATCAATTCATTGACATATTTGAGGGCTGCTGTGTGACTGACGTGCCATAATTACAGGGAAAAAAAGGCCGTTTTTATGGCACATGGCTGGTTCAATCAACAGTGAATATGTTTGCACCCCTGCTGTAGTCAATCACCGGATAGGTGAAGATGGGTATGTTTGACATCTGTGTGTCCGAGCGTGTGTGTGTGTGTAAAGAGACCTTTGGAATGACCTCGCACATAGAGATGATGCTCATAAATTGGTCTGAAGTCTCATTTTCCCTGCAGGATTTTGACCAGCTGCCACAGCTTAGAACCCATTTCGTTCCTGCAGCACCGGCCCTCTCGCACGCCGAGTGACAGAGTTAATGAGCACATTTTATGACCGGATTCGACGTCCAAGGAGAAGCAAATGTAATGTGGATCACGAGGGCTGTAAATAGCACATAATAAGTAATACAAGGCTGTAGGAGACCACTGGTTTCTCATTAAAGTCACAATATGGTTTGGCTGTATAAAGCTAGTATCACAGTTAATCTTATTCACAGTTAACTGATCGTATAAGGCCCGGATAAAAGAAACATGTGCCCAGACGTTTCATAACAGGGCAACTCAACACAAGCTGTCACAGTGGGAGGAAATAAAGAAGAGATTTGCTGCCACCTTGTGTATCGACACTGCACCGCACTCCAGGACTTAAAATACTAGAAAACCAATCTGCCTGATCATGACTGCTAAATAAAGTGTTTAAAATAAGTTTTTTTTCTGACATACATGACTCTTTTTGGCAAATATTTAAGATATTAGTATCTTACTGTCAATATTACGCTTCAAATTTCGGTTGGCTCCACTTGAAAGGGTAAATATGTAAAGCAAAAGCCTTATAAAACACAATAACATAATATGACAAAACAAAACATGAGCCAATTATTATTTTAAGATTTTTAAATGTTTTTTCTGTTTTAAAAAGTCTTATTTAAAACTCTAATCCAAAATAAAGCGGGGGCACTGTGTAATATCATCATTTTAAATTAAAATTAGTGCAAAAATGACATCTAAAGTGTTAAAACTAAAAAAACTACAGTACAGTCTGATTTTTTAGATGTTGTATTTTTAAAATTTTAAAATTGCATCCACTCTCAAAAAGGAAAATAAATTATTCCACATTAAAGAATTCATGCGACAGACTTTTTTTTACAATCAGATTAAATCACCTTGTGTCTTAAAATCCTATTATTTTACTCCTTTATTGACGTTTTTTAAATTTTAAGATTGCACCCACTCTCAAAAAAGGGACTAAATTATCCCACATTAAAGAATAAATGCGACAGACTTTTAACACAACACTATTAAATCACCTTGTGGCTTAAAATCCTGTTATTTTACTCCTTTATTGACGTTTTTTGTGGATTTTATCATTATGCAACCCTGCGCATGCTCAGTTGAAATCGGGTATTGGGACACTCACCTCGGTTATCTCCGTCAGTCCCCCCGTGTGCCCTCGTCAGCCTTCGTGACGTTCCGCTCCTCTCCGTCCCCGCTCGGCTCCTGTCGGTCGAGCTGATTTTCGCTGTCGTCGTCTCCCTCGTCCTCCTCTCCGTGTTGTTGTTCTCGGTGACGCGACGGAGGTGTAGCCTGACGCGGTCTCTTACGTGTCGGTCTGAATAAAAGTGGAGCTCCGTAGACCCGGGAGTGACGAAGCGAGTCTGTGTTGGTAAGAGGATACGCATCCGATGTTTGCTAAACAGATAGATGGCTGCCCTGAGAGGTTATTTGCGCCTTATATCCGCACAAAGCCAACAAAGAGATCATGGCGGCGGTGTTGCAGAGGCTCAGAAAATGAGTCAGTCTCTGCAAGGCGCGCTGGCTCCTAACACGACTGAGACATAGGTATAAATGTGGGAGTGGGCTTTGAGAATTTATTTTTTTCTTTTAATGAGCAGACGAAGAAGATGTTTCCGGTGGTGTTTGTCAATTTAAGCTTGTGTAAAACAAAAATGTGTTTCAGATAAATTTAAGGAAACTACTCGCTAGTGAAAGTGGGGTGCCCTAGTTGCAAAAAAAAAGGAAAAAAAAACTGGCAATACAATGCATTCAGACTTTTCCCTCCATGCAGCCGCACTATGAGCTACCCGAGGCTACGACTGCTAATTTCATGTGTCTTTAACACGTTAAACTGAGCGGGAAAGGCGTAAAAATGCGGCACAAGCTGCAGGAAACGACCAAATAGAGGCTTTGGAAATGTTAAAGAAGTAGCTACAAGCTGTGCTAACGTGCATTCCTGTTAGCATGCTGGCTATAGCAACGGCGCCCATACTGTTAGAGGTAGCAGCATGCTAACTAAGTTTGCATCTATGGAGCTTCAGCCTCCAGTTTCCTGTTTTTCTCCCTTTATTTTTTACATGACTTGAATATTTTTGCAAAAACAGGGTGGATTTATGTCTAGAAGTGAAATGCATGCTATCGTGTTGAGCTTAGCCACACCCTCCTTTTGAATATCAGACTCAAGAGGCTCTGCAGTGAGTTTAAGGGATGTGCTTTTCAAGTAACAGTACTATTTGATTAATAATCACGGGATAATAATCGATTATTAAGCGAATATTCGACCCCCGCACACCCAAAACGATGGGAAAGACAGAAAGAAATCTACTTTATCATAACTGTCTTTTTTACTACTTAACCTCATTACACACACAGGTAGGGTTGGGTATTGTTTGATTTTGAACGATTCTGGTTTCGATTCCGATCCCTAACGATTCTTCATTCCGATTCTTTTAAGAGGCAGGATATAAAAAAATGCATGGTTTAAATGAGGGTGCTAACTAGAGTTCTTCTTCTTGGATGAAATTTCTGAACTTCTCCATGATTTTTTTAAATTATATTAACTTTTTAAGAACTTTACTATGAATTTCTCACAGGGTTATTTTTTAACCAGTATATAAATATCAATTTTTGTCGTCAGGTTGTTTGTCTTTGAAAAAGTATAAGGGCTAATGTTAGTTGGATATTTAAGCTGACCCACCGTACACAGTACATTTTGTTTGCCGCTTCAGTGTTAGCAGAAGACAGAAGTCATTTATTGTTTCACTTATCTGATTCTGACTGGTTAGTGGACGACAGGTGTTGTGCCGTAGGATGCTTCCCGTAGAATTAGCTTCTTAAAGTGGAGGAAAATGATCTCATATTTAAAAAAAAAAAAAACACGAGTATTAGATCATGACGACATGCCAAATGGAGCAGCAAACTTTCGTTCTGTTTTTTTGTGTCTCAAACATGCACATATAGAGGTGTACTTGGGGGTATAAACTGCACAGTTAGCTGTCAAGGTAGCAAATATTCAGAATCAGAGGGCTATTGTTTTCGGCTTATCTGAATAGCCTTCGTTATGTACTTTCAACCGTGCTCCTGTTCAGCAGCTATTTCATCTGGTCGGCGGACTCCAGGAAGTGAAATTTTTTTTTGTAGGATGGTCCCGCCCTCCTTCACCTCTGATTGGCTAGAAGTGCTGGGCTCCGATTTGTTATTCATAATGGCTGTGAAACATGCCCATCTTCATAAAGATTAATCTGATAGTTCATGACAACAGCCCATCCCATGTTTTCATTCAGAAAAATCACCATGACGACCCGCCGCTTTCACCCGGGTGCTTTGCTCTCATATGGCTGTGCGTGGTTGTCGTAGATTTGCGATATGCAAGCTTAGCCTCACAGAGTTTACACCGTACCTCTGCGTCACACAGAACTTTTGGTCGGCTGCTGCAGTAATCTTGCCATCGTGTTTTCGCTTATGTTTATTTCTTCTTCTACGGTGGCGTCTAGCCCGCCACACTGTGTATCATGCAAATACTGCCCCCGTGTGGAAGGCGCCAGTAAAACAAATGTGTTTTTTTCCAGATATCATGAACTATTTGACTTTTTAGGATTTAATGACTATTAGAATATTCAAGTTTGTGGAGTGTGCATGATGAAACATGTTAAAAGTAAATGTGTGTTTTTTTTTAATTCCAGCAGATTTTAAATGACCATGGAGGCCGCTGCAGACACACAGCAAGGTGGTGAAACTGCTGTCTCGGAGTCTGAGGCCCAGCATATCACCCTCACCCAGGTAAGTCTTTGCACCGTGGCGTGTTATTGCTGCTAAAGTTCAGACAGGGGCGGTGTTTAAATGTCGATGTGGGTTGTTGTGCTTCGCAGGCGTCGATCGCAGCAGGTCAGGTGACGTCCAGCAGTCCCACGGTCACTCTAGTCCAGTTACCGAACGGTCAGACGGTCCAAGTGCACGGAGTGATCCAAGCTGCTCAGCCCTCGGTCATCCAATCCCCACAAGTCCAAACTGTTCAGGTGACAGAAGAGGAGGAATGTATTTAGTGATTTTCTTTCATTTAAAATGATTGAAAATTGAAAAAACAAAGAACCAGTCACTCTGAGTTTGTCGATTTCCCTCTCTAATGGCCTCAGAAATCTGCGGATTGAAACAAATCTTTCTAAATGCCGGTTTTAACTCTTATGTAACAGTTTACATTGTTGTTTCTGTTGAGTAATCAGTGATCATGATGTTTTTGTTCTGCAGATTTCCACTGTTGCAGAGAGCGAGGACTCTCAGGAGTCTGTAGACAGCGTGACGGACTCTCAGAAGAGGAGAGAGATCCTGTCCAGGCGACCTTCATATAGGTTTGTCCAGCACCTTCAGACCTTTATTTAGATTGGGGGTGTGGATCCAGACTGTTTGTTTTGTAACTGTAAAGACTTGAAGACGTTTAGATAAGAGCTGTCAGTCAAGATGTCCCCGATCTTCACTCTCTGGTTAATGTTTCCAAATTTGGCTCTGGTATACGTCGCTGTATCATCATGATATTATCTTCTATTTACATACATAATTACACTGAGCCACACACACAGTTTGTAGCAGCTGCGCCTCGCTCCTCTCTCAGAGGGTTACCATAGCAACTAGACATAGCCGTGTCTGTCACTGTGAAACTTTGTGTTAACTCCACTATGAATATATATATTAGTAAACATATTATTTGGGTTATTAAATCTGCACAAACTTCTGCACAAACTTTTGGCGATAAATAAGAGGAAAAAAATGCATCTGCCTCCTTTCAACAGTCACATTTGTCATTTATTGTGAATACTTTCAATGGAAAATGTTTACAGGGCTGTTTTTTCAGTTGGTCGACTGACATTTATCCCCTCACACCAGCTTTAAAGGGATATCCTGGCGTAAAATTAATTTAGGGTCAAACACACCGTAACACTGAGTTAGACTACCCCTCAAGAGATAAATGTTGCTGACCGCTTGCTTCTCTAGTTATACCAACTTTAGTAACGACCGCACGATAGCAATACACAGCGGTCTGAGGAGCCATAAACAAACCTCAACCAAAACGCCACTTTATAGCCACAAATAATGCTCAGAACAGCACCTAACTTCATCAACAGGACATATAGGGTCCCAGCCATAGTACTAGACACCAAACATCTTTTTAACTTTGACTAATTTCTTCAGCAAAGAGTCTAAACACAACTCACCTACTCTCTTCCAGCAGCTGCTTGTTTGCACGGAGACCTCCGAGTGAACCCATCGACTGCAGCGGGGTGATGCAGCTCAAGGAAGAACATTTATGATCATTTCTTTATCATTTCCTTTAAGTAATAATCATATTAATCATTTCACACTGCAGATGTGGTAGTTCTTCTGCCTCAGCGTCTCAGTCTGATTGTATTTCCTTGAAGAAATGATCATAAATGTTCTTCCTTGAGCTGCGTCACCCCGCTGTAGTCTGTAACGGACTGGCCTGAGGTCTCGTTACAAACAAGCGGCTGCTGGAAGAGAGACGGTGAGTTGTGTGAAACAAGAAAAAAGTTAAAAAGATGTTTGGTGGCAAGTACTATGGCTGTGACCCTACATGTACTGTTGATGAAGTTAGGTGCTGTTCTGAGCATTATTTGTGGCTATAAAGTGGTGTTTTGGTTAAACGCGTGGCTCTCTGTATTGCTATCGTCCGGTCGTTACTAAAGTTGGTAAAACTAGAGAAGTAAGCGGTCAGCAACATTCGTCTCTCGAGGGGGTGTCTAACTCAGTGTCACGGTGTGTTTGACCCTAACTTAATTTTACGCCAGAATATCCCTTTAACTCCACTGTGAATATATATCACAAAACAACTGTTCTAAAATCTGTTTGAATATTTTTGTCCTGAGTCAATAACATCCCTGATTATTGTTTGTTTTTTTCATAAATGTGTATGTCTTCTCTTACGCACAAACAAAATTAGCTGAAATTTTATTTCTTTGGAAACAAAAGTGTTTCGTGAGGCTGCTTCAAGAGGAAAAAGTTGCATGTTCTTCTTTTCGACAGTCACATTTGTCATTTATTGTGAATCCTTTCTGTGGAAAGTGTTAACAGGGCTGTTTTTTCAGACATTTATTCCCTCACACCAGCTTTAAGCATCAAAAACATCCGTATAAGAATCATAAATCTTGTCCCTGGTGGTCGAGTTTTCTTTTGCAGATCTTAAAAAAGCATCAATATGAGTTCCAGTCTGTGTCCTTCTTCACCTCCACAGAAAGATCCTCAACGACCTCTCGTCAGATGTCCCCGCAGTGCCTCGAATCGAGGAGGAGAAGTCAGAGGATGACTCAGCACCCGCCATCACCACAGTCACCATGCCCACTCCCATCTATCAGACCAGCAGCGGCCAGTACAGTGAGTCTTCTTTATTTTTAACTTTTAGCGTTTTGGATCTGCTTCTTTCTGTTCGAGTCTAAGAAACGGCGTCTCTGTGCAGTTGCCATTACCCAGGGCGGCGCCATCCAGCTGGCCAATAACGGCACAGACGGAGTGCAGGGCCTCCAGACTCTGACCATGGCCAACGCTGCCGCAGCTCAGCCGGGCGCCACCATCCTGCAGTACGCTCAGACCAGCGACGGGCAGCAGATCCTGGTGCCTAGCAACCAAGTTGTTGTACAAGGTGTGGAAACGATGAGAGAAAAACGATGATCAGAAATGTCCAAGCAGGAAAATGAACCAAACGCCTTTTTGTTTGTCTTCATCCGTCAGCTGCTTCTGGTGACGTCCAGGCCTATCAGATCCGCACAGCTCCCACCAGCACCATCACTCCCGGGGTTGTCATGGCGACCTCGCCCGCACTGGGGACAGGAGGAGGAACTGAGGAGGTCACACGCAAAAGGGAGGTGCGACTCATGAAAAACAGGTACGTGAATAATTTCCTCGCCATGACCTCGCATGATAAGAAAGCAGGTTAGTCGAAGAAATCTCACCGCCATCCTTCGCCATCTTTGTGTCTCTTAGGGAGGCAGCCCGGGAGTGCCGCAGGAAGAAGAAGGAGTACGTCAAGTGTCTGGAGAACCGTGTTGCCGTGCTGGAGAACCAGAACAAAACCCTCATCGAGGAACTCAAAGCCCTCAAAGACTTGTACTGCCACAAATCCGAGTAGAAACCGCCACCCTGACGCCTGCCCAGGTGCTCTTCTGTAAGCGCGTACAGAGACTCAGCTCAGAGCCGCGCACCTGGAAGACACTCCCCCCCCTTTTTCTACTCTTCGGCTTTCTTTTTAAAAACTGCTAAAATGTCCGACTCACCCGGAATAGAAACACAAACACACCTTCTCTCTCTGTTTCGAGCAATTTGAATTTCAGTTTCCCACGAAAGGCCGGAGCAACGGAAAGAAAGGGAGTGAAGGAAACGAGGAGGAACACAGAAGGATCCTTCGAAGGGAAGCGTCCCGGTCACTGGTACCTGGACCAAACCAGGCGGCATCACCAGCAAACGGGCCGCTTCCGGAGCAACATCACAAGCGAGATTTCTCACGGCGTTTCCCCTCAAAACTCTCGGATCATCTGGAGACTTGACCTTCGTGTGCAGAGTTTGTAAACGGCGCTCCTGCATTAACTTCTGTTACTTACTAATGCTTTCAAGTGTAGACGGGCTGTGTCACGGACTTTTTATCTTTTAGCTTCGTTTTCGTTCGTCATGTACCGCCATTTTATTTTTTTTGTACTTTTGAATAACTCTGCCTTGTGGACATAAAAGCGAAGCATTAAACCGGGTCGTACGATGAATTTACACACGACGAAAAAGAGACTTATGAAGATCGTTTATGAAGCATGATTCATTCAGAGGCTCATTGTTTTTGTTTTCTGCGTCTTTAGATACACAAAAAAAAGCAGAAGCCGGCTGTGAAATTTGTTCCCCGCTGCTTGCTGTAGATGTCTATAGCGGGGCGTACACTGTATATTTTATAAGTATGATGGTGGAAAGTGAAAACAGAAGTTGTGTGTGGTTGAACCTGAGCAGAACCGTCAGAACAGACTGGACTGAAGCTTTGAGATGAATTTTCCAGCTCAGTAACGGGGTCTGTGTCCGGCTCAGTTTTGACGCCTGTTTTTTCAAAAGCAAGGAGAAAGTAACACGAACAAAAGACGGTGACAGTTTGTGAGCGAAAAAGCGTATTTTTTAAAAAAAGAGCAGATTTTGTGTTTTAATTTTTCTTCAAGCATTTACTTTTTACTGATTTTTAGAGCTGAAATCGAAACAATGAGCCTCTTTTTTTCTTTCTTTTCCTTTTGAATGAAAAAAATAAATTGCTGCATATTTCTGGACAAATTTCAGATGTTTCCCATATTCGACAGCACAGGTTACCTTAACTGCACCGTCTCTTGACCCGTGCTGCCCCCTGGTTTTTGTTTCTGGAAATTTCTGCATCACTTTCGCACAAGTTACGATTAAACATCTCCCGTCAAATATCGACTGCGCCCAGTTCTCAGCTTTTGATGTACCAGCCTAACTGTTTACTCTGATCAAGTGGCGTGTGCACTTTTTCTCGCACATACAATCCTTCTACATTTCACACGATTCTGCAGGATAGTTTCACTCTCTGAGTGTTTTATTGCTTTGGCGTCACCATGCAGTTAACGTTTTAAGTTGTGCACAGCTCTGTCGCATCGATCGAAAACACCCCGCGTACGGATTGCAGAGTGCGATGAATTTATAACTTCACCATGAACAAAAAAAACTGAGATTTTCACAATCATGGACTGCCGTATTGTATTATTTTGGGTTTCATGTTTTGTTAAGATCTAGTAAGCTTTTTTTTATGTTGCTTTTCGTTAATTTTGTATTCACGATTTCTAAATGTCAGCACCAACTCGTATGATACAGTGCATTATGTTAGAGCTATTCAAATATTACATTTTTTGGCAGCTGTTAATAAATGTGTTTCTGTAATCTTTTATGAGATTTTATTGATTTGTCTGCAAAAATGTTCATGTATTACAAAAATAAGGCATTTAAAGGGATATTCCGGTGTAAAATAAACTTAGGTTCAAACACACCGTAACACCGAGTTAGACAACCCTGCAGAGAGATGAATGTTGCCGACCTCCTGCTTCTGTAGTTATACCAACTTTAGCAACAACTGCACGCTAGCAATACACAGCGGTCTGAAGAGTCATAAACAAACCTCAACCAAAATGCCATAAATAATGTTCAGAACAGCACCTAACTTCATCAACAGTACATATAGGGTCACAGCCATAGTACTAGCCACCAAACATCTTTTTAACTTTGCCTAATTTCTTTAGCAACGAGACTAAACACAACTCACCTACTCTCTTCCAGCAGCTGCTGAGGGGTGTCACAGCTAAAGGAAGAACATTTATGATCATTTCTCTTGACCATTGAATTGGCAGAGATTACCGTTGAAGTTACAGTTGAAGTTAGGTGCTGTTCTGAGTATTATTCGTGGCTATAGAGTGGCGTTTTGGTTGAGGTTTGTTTATGGCTCCCCAGACCGCTGTGTATTGCTAGTGTGCGGTCATTACTAAAGTTGGTATAACTAGAGAAGCAAGCGGTCGGCAACATTTATCTCTTGAGGGGGTGTCTAACTTTGTTTGACCCTAAATTAATTTCACTCTGGAATATCCCTTTAGAGTCCGATCAATTTCACAAATCTCCCCTTGGAGGCAGTTTCAAAGCTTTATACACATAAATGTCCCTCTCTTTATCGTAGTAAACCTCCTCCACTGCAAAACTCGTCCCCAACATGCCCAAAAAGTCTGTATCCCTCTTGTATCGGATCTTGCAGGCGAGCAGCACCTCAGTCGTGCTTGAGCACAAGTGCTCCAGAGTCCGCAGCAGCGGCACAAAGGTGTCCTCCAGGTAAATAATGTCAGCTCCGAGCACGATGTCGAAACCGCCAGGCGGATAGCGGTCAAGACCCTCTCCCCATGTCAGCTCTGATACAACCACTGATTCCTGAGAGTCCGGGGGCAGGTTTGCTTTGACGTTTGCTGCAAGGAAGTCCAGGGCGGGCTGTCTGTCTGTGATGGTCACTTTGGCACCTGGAATATTCATATATTCATAAATTTGTGAGAGACTGCGTGAGTAAATGGTTGATAGAAATTGACTGACGCTGTAAAACTCACCCATCAAAGCTGCAACAATCCCCACCAGTCCAGTCCCAGCTCCCAGTTCAATCACTTTCTTCCTCTGTAATTCCACTTTCCCCAGTTCCAGGTACATACACATGACAACAGCCTGAAAAACACGTACTGCGCCTTTAATTACATAATAAACAGCAGAGGGAACGTTGCTATGTTAGAAAAAACACGTACCGCATCCCACACGACAGCTGCCACCCCGAGTTTTTTCCAGTCCTGGGCCAGGCTGAGGTTGTGGTTGGCGAAACGAAACTGAGCTGATGAATTGTGGAGTTTGGAAAGCGCGGGTAAAGCGTTTTCTACATACGGAACCAGAGCCATGCTTAAATAAAAAGGAACTACACTGCAGTTCGTCTTATGCGCATGCGCCACACTGTCGTGGCTTCAGGGAAGATAGTCGATTCCTCACTGCCACCTTCTGTTGGTCTGATTCCTCCTTTTGTAGCCAATACTTTCATTATATTCAACAAATATAAAATAAAATATAACCTTTACGTTGCAAAAACATCATAACTACTAGCTTGGTTTAGTTAATTTACAAACAAAGCGTAGTAAGGGTTGTTGTCATCAACCTCCGTCTGTCCGAACGTCTTAAAGTTCCCCGCCCAATCATGAGCAGTCAAAGAGCAACTTCAGCCAATCATGTAACAGCTCCACTGCAAATAACCAATAGGGATGCCTGGTTTCACAGTGGGCGTTTCTCTACAGGTTTTTCTCAACGGCCGAGGAGGCGGGAGCTTCACAGGAACCGCTTCCGGTTTGTAAAGTTAGCAAAATATACAGCGGTAAAATGGCTTCCGTTTCATTTATGAGCCGCTGCTGAAAATTACGGTGGCCGAGAACAGCCACTGTTGCAACGAAAAAAAAAAGAATGCAAAAAATTGAATAAATAAATTCAGCATAAAAATATCAGTCTTTTAAAATAATCATGTCGTAAAATTTAGACTTGAAAAAAACTGTAAAAAAAAATCAACATGAAAAATTTCAGTGTCAAAAAATTTGTGTTTAAAAGACAGATTCAACATCCGGGTAACCAGGGAGAGCAATCAATTTCTCAATCTTCCACTAGGGTCGGTGCCACATGACCAATCTAGCAATAATTAATTGGCTAGACGATGGATAATTGAGCCAGAAATTGATTGCTTCTCCCTGATTACCCGGATGTTCAATTGGTCTGTTTACACAAACATTTTTGACATTGAATTTGTTTTTATGTTGAATTTTTTTTTACAGTTTTTTTAAGTTGAGTTTTTACTCAATAAATATTTTGAGAGACAGATTATTTTTCATTGAATTTATTTCATCATTGTGAAAAAGATAAGTGTCGGAGATAAAAAATGTGAGCTTGAAATTCAATAGTTTTAAAAAGTCTGATTATGATGCAAAAAAAATCAGCTTTAGGAATTCAAATTCAAAAACAGATGTGACTTCTTTTTATTGCATTCTTTTTTATTTACGAATAAATAGACTTCAAAGTCTGATTTTGATGTTTAAAAAAAATCAGCGTTAGAAATTCAAATTCAAAATCAGATGGCACAGATTTACATCCATAGCTCTGGTTTCTCTGGCTTGCTGCCGGTGGCTTTTAATTTGAAAAGCAGCAACCGGAAGCTCCCTCTGAACCCGGCTGCTCTGTTCGCCTTGACCACCGAGACGTGTCCTGCAAATGCGACGAGATGCAAGCTAACGTTTGCCGCCTGATAAAAATCTCCATGCCGGCCTTTTTACCACCTCTTTAGGCTTTTCTTGACTGTCAGTGAATTACTAAGATAACCCTGGCGTTTGAGGCGTTTAAAGTGACGGAGTCATCAGCTGCAGTGAGATGGACTGATCCATGCTGCTAAGGGAGCCAGGGATGGCTAACCATGGAGGGAGATAGAGGAGCCCGTGACTTTGTGTTACTCGCCTCTTTTGCGGTAGAAAAATGACTTGATAGTGGTGGTTGTCGTTGTCTCCTAGTGTACCGTCCACGAATGTAAGTCGTATCAGAGTGCGCCGGTGTTATGCTGCGCACACGCCCTGAATATGCCAGCTGTCCTGCACACACCGCAGACACACTGTCATTGCACAGATCTTACACTTACCTTACAGGCTAACTCACCCCTTTTGCACTTAAACTCAACATCAGACCAAATTTAGAGTTTATTATAGGCGTAGTTTAAATTAAAAGACATTCCCTTTGGTTTTACACTTAATTTTCTGCCACTTTAAGTTAAACTTTGAAGTCCAGACACCTAACAGCCTGATAAGACCAGCAGGTGAATCCACCTCAGTTGTATGGGAAACAGTGCCAGCTGTAGCAGGACTGTTGTAGGTCAACCATGGGAGGGTCAGTGTCTTGCTGCATCTCCCCCGGCGAGAGTCCCAAGATCCACAGGAGGGAGGTGGAGCTGGAGGAATGTCCCATCACCACCTGCGAGGACGTGAGCGAAGACACGGGGACGTACCTGCAGCACATCAGCGACAGGGAGCTCCCAGATGGTGGGTATATGACATCCACGCTTTCCCACGTGCTTCCCTGGTGGTTCACACATCACTTACAGATGGTTTGACCTCAAAAAGACACATTTTACACCATTATCATCCTCGTTTATCACCAGTTATAAGATCTAAAAGGCTCACAAAGATGCCGCCTCTTGAGGATAGACAGGAATCATAATAAGCAATAAGATTAGTGTAAAATGTGCAGAATATTATAGTCGTAGAGAATTAGTTCCTCTGAAATCATTGTAAAATAGAGGCAATGCATTGTCATTGATGGATATGAAAAACAAAGAGGACCAAGGATTGAATCCTGAGGTACTCCAGGCATTCGTTTTACTCTCATTCGGTTCCGTCTGAAGACATTTTAAGAACAAGCTGCAAAAGTGACATTTTTGTCACCTAAACACTAAACCAGTCACAACATTAGATTTCTGGGGTTTGGGTCGAACATTTTTCTGTGTAAAATTTCTTTCCCGGAGAGCGCCAACATTCATGTTTTTATTTGTGCATGTTGCAGAACTGGCCCAAGAAGCCAATCCATCGGACCACCCGAGAGCGAGCACCCTCTTCCTCAACAAGTCACAGACAGACGGTGAGTATTGAATGCTACATTCAAGTTACCTCAGAAGTCAGAGGTCCAAGTCGGAAAACAGCAAAATTGGAGGCGGATACAAGATGGCTACATCTATGAAAGTTATTTTTTTTTAGCTTATAAGGCAAGCACTAGGATAACTTTCGTAGATGTAGCCATCTTGTTTCAGGCCTCCAATGTTGCTTTTTTCTGACTTGGCAACTGAAACTCTGGATACTCAGGTGTGACGTCATTTTCAGCTAGGACTTCTGACTTCTGAGGTAACTGGGACACAGCATTATTTCAATTTCTTTTTTTTTTTCCTTATTTAATGATTTATTCGTGATTTTGAAAAGTGCATTCTCAGGGAATTTTGTCGCTGTTGTCCAAATCTCTGACTTTTCTCTCCGTTTCAGTTCGGGAGAAGAGGAAAAGCAACTACTTGAATCACGTAAGGAAGTTAAAGGATGATACAAACAGGTACTGTCTTCATTTTTCTTCTTTACTTTCTCTTTAAATTTTGTCATCCTCTCTGCAGCAGATGTCCCCGGGCCTCTTGACAAAAAAGTACAGCTCCTGCTCGACGATATTCATCGATGACAGCACAGTCAGCCAGCCCAACCTCAAAAGCACGATTAAATGGTAGGTGACTTTACCTCTGTCCTCTGGATATCTTCTGAAAAATAGTTGAATTTCAGTTCCCCTTATTTTGCGCCCTTTCATTTCTCCTTCAGAGCCTGAATATGTTTTATTATACTGAAGACATTTCCAATTAATCTTATCTGCTGCTTGCTCAAAAGCTTACTTATAGTTACCAAGGTTCCCTACAGGACTTTAATTAATAAGGGAACTATAAATTTTCACGAATATGATGATGTCCTGCAGTTTCAGACATGATATACATCCAAAGGTTCAATATTTTTATGTTGTTTTATTTTTCTCCTCTGTTTCAGCGTCGCATTGGCCATTTACTATCACATAAAAAACAGGTAGGAAAAGTTTGATGCATCATCATGGATTTCAGTCCTTGTGGGTGTTGTATTGCTAAGTACTTCTCCTTTTATTGAGGTTGTTATCCGATCAGATGTTTCTTAAGGGCTTTAAACAGTCTGACAGCATCATTGATTAAGTCGTCAGTCAGTCAGTCAGTCAGGCAGTCAATCAGATAGATAGATAGATATGGTTGACAAATACGTTGATAGATTGGTAGATAAGTAAGTCCATGGATGGTCATCAGTTTTTTCTTTGATAACTTCATCAACACAGCAGTTTCTTCCAAGTGCAACTAGTTCAGTTGATTTGTTAGCGGTTTAGTTGATTAGTTTGGTAATGAAGTCCTGATCTTGGAATTGCTAAGTGGACAAAAATTAGCCAGATTCATCGACATGTCAATCAAGATCATTGAATATTGGCCTGTTCTGATCTGGCAGAGATTCGAACCGCTCCTTGGACATATTCGATGAAAAGAAACACCCTCTATCGGTGAGTTTCCAGGCTTTAGTTGTGTACTTTTTCTCCGTGCTGATGGGCCACTGATAACGACGATCATTTCTACCTGACAGCGAGAAAAGGTTCCGGACGACTACTCCGTGGTAGACCCCGAACACAAACTCATCTATCGCTTTATCAGGACGCTCTTCAGCTCTGCGCAGCTCACTGCTGAGTGCGCCATCGTCACCTTGGTAATTTCATTTTAACAGAATACATCGCAGGAACCCAATGAACAAGAACACCCGTGAAGGCTCATATCTCTGTTGCTGCACTAGGTTTATCTAGAACGGCTGTTGACGTACGCGGAGATGGACATCTGTCCTTGCAACTGGAAGCGGATTGTACTTGGTGCCATCTTACTGGCCTCAAAGGTCTGGGATGACCAGGCTGTTTGGAACGTCGACTACTGCCAGATCCTCAAAGATATAACAGTGGAGGACATGTAAGACGAGTTACTTCATTTCCCCTGACATTGAGCAAAGCATTAACTGAATTGGAAGCGTCAAATTCTCTGATGAATTGTCGACTTCTTTCCATGTTCTGCAGGAATGAGATGGAGCGCCACTTCCTTGAGCTTCTCCAGTTCAACATCAACGTCCCAGCCAGCGTCTACGCCAAGTATTACTTTGACCTGCGCTCACTGGCTGACGATAACAACCTTAGTTTCCCTCTGGAGCCCCTCAGCAATAAGCGGGCCCAGAAACTGGAGGTAAGTGGAACAAGTTCAGGCTGTAGTTGTTGGATTTGACATTGGCTGTTTGTTGAATTGTTGTCTTCTGTCTCCAGGCGATCTCCAGGCTCTGCGAGGACAAGTACAAAGACCTTCATAAATCCGCCATGAGGAGGTCTGTCAGTGCGGACAACTTGGTCGGCGTCAAGAAATCCCAGGCGGTGCTGTCTTAAGTCTTGAATGGCCGTCCTGGATCAGGCAGAGCGGAAGAAGGAACAGTTTAAGAGCGGTTTGATGCAGCAACACCAAGAGACACTTTAACAGTAGTTGTAAAATACTGAATGTCATTATCTGAGGAGGAGCAAGAGGCTAGAAGTTTACCATACATTATCTCCGAAATACAACAAATCCAGTTTCTATGTGTTGGAAACAAAGAACTTAAACTGTCTGCCTTTAAAGCATGGTAATTTGGTGGATTACTCTGCAGATTGTCCATTTTTTTCAGATATCAGATGTAAACCGTCGGAAGGAATCAGCATGAAAATCACACCAATTTTTAACGTCATTGTTCGTCATCATCAGCCGATCTTTCGGGGACTCTTTTCCCCGGCCCTTTCTCTCTGTCTCTCTCTCTTCTTCAATCACGCAAAGACAAACTGTCTCGAACTACCCTGTGGTGTAGTTCTACTCACAGACAAAGACTAGATTTTGTTTTGCTTACTATGTAGGCCTCTATAGCTGTGAAATGTACAAGACTTAATTTAATTCAATAAATTTCAGTCGCTGTTGAAAGTTATGGCTGTTAAGATGAGACGGTGTCACAGTGTTTTGTGTTTGTCGAGGATGAATGCCTTTGAAAAGATATTGTAGTCATGAGATCTACGAGTTCCTGCTTCGTTCTCTTAAGAAAGCCATGATGATCAGAACCTTATTCTCCCTTAAAATGAAAAACTACATTTATTCTATATTTTTGATGATGTGTTACACAAACAAACCTTTACAAGTTGCCTCTTAGTCCCAAATTTGGCACAACCATTCCGGAATACTCGAACAAACAACATGTAACGATGTTGAGTACTTGATCTTAAAAAGCCAGATTGAACATGTTCCACTGGTTTAATTGCCAACATGAAGACGTTTGCCTTCTTTCCATACTTCAGAAGTACTCTTGGATGCCGGGTTAAAGGCCGTGATTTGTCTTGCGGCCGACCTTTGAGAAGCACTTCAAAATGGTGCAATTTTTCCTTGAAAGCCCTTTGCCGGGAGGGTATCTCTCTACAAAACGGTGAGACGCTTTTCTATAGATATTTTGCAAACCAAGATGGAGAGTTCAGGGAACGCACTTTAGCTTAGACTCTTGGCTGTACCTTTTTCTTTATCAAGGGTTTGAGGAACAAGAGACTCTCCTGGAAACCTCAGTTTATCTTGTGGTACAAGGAGCGATTATTGGACTGTATTGGCTCTGTTTGCAAACTCAGATCAGTGAATGCAGTCCAGGGAAGCATGACTCTTTAGCCAACCAAACTACTCTTGGGTGCCGGGTTAAAGGCCCTGATTTGTCTTGCAGCTGACCTCTGAGAAACACTTCAAAATGGTGCAATTTTCCTTGAAAGCCCTTTGCCAAAAGTGAATCTCTCTACAAAACAGTGAGCTGCTTTTCGATAGAAATTTTGCAAACAGGCTGACAGCTTTGTGGAGTTCGAACATACTTTAGTTTAGACTCTCGGCTGTGCCTTTTTTCTTAACAAGGGTTTGAGGAACAAGAGATTCCTCTGGAAACCTTAGTTTATCTTGTGGTACAAGGAGTGATTATTGGACTGTATTGTCTGGTTGTAAACTCAGACCAGTGGATGCAGTCCAGGGAAGCATGGCTCTAAAACCAACCAAACTGCAGGATTCTACTTCTACCTCATTATTTAAGTGGAGCAACAACTGGACTTTCACTAGTCCTTGTATCTGGGACAGGTAAGGGAAGCCTTTCTCGATAATATGATCAGCTCTATGGTCACTTGGGACCTGCAGATCAAGCAAGTTCTGTTCCGACAGAAAATGCAAGAACTGGAGATGATTCAGCAAAGCGACGGGGCGGACATTTACATACGCAAAGTAATCAAGAATATTTTCCTTAAGATGTTTTAAAAAAGTCTCTGATCACCTCCTTTCTCTTCTCCTTTATGTGCGGATGTAGGTTGTAGTACCCATTTTTGGCCACATAGCGGCAGTGCTGAAGCATGGAAGTCAGCTGGCCTGACTGCAGGTGTTAGATTAGTGAATGTGTTAATGCGACATCCTCCAGACTCTCCCCAGCTCTGGTGCAGCTTGCTCTGTCATTGCCAGACTTGAGAGCAGGGACAGACACAGCCAGGCCTGCTTCATCTGGGCTTTGATGAAGGTGTAAGTCCGGAGATGAAGTGACATGCAGGGTGTTTTTGAGCTGCAGTGAAAGAAAGAAGGAAAATCATGAAAGGTCATAATGAAAATGGCAGGTCAAATTGATAATATTGAGGGTGATAATTGAAACTTGTGATGAATCGACTTCATCAGGTTTTTGTTTGCAGTAAAAATTGTTGACAGTGACTGTGCCGCCGTTATTTGTCAAGATTAGAGTTCACGTCAGTTCAGCGACATGAAAACTGTCATAATCTGAAATGAATAGTGTGTGAGCATGTCCGCCCGTGACTCTCTCTGTGTGTGTGCATCCTGTAGGGATCACAGTGCCAGTGCAGCTTCATTAATCTCTCAGCATCCTGGGACTTGTCTGAACTCGAAAAGAGGGCTAGAGAGAACAAGCTGCCCCCCCGGGGAGTCACTCCGTTTACCCTCCACACGCTCGGGTCACTCCTCATATCACACACTCTTCAACTATACAATGTCAAACCCTCCAGTCGGCCTGAAAGCGCAGAACCTCTGCACAGAGCATGTGTGATGATTTGCATATTCCTGCTCGTCCACGCGTGAAGATTGATCTGAGGTGAAAAGCGTCTATTAGGCAGTGAGACTCGTTAAGCAGAATGTGGGTCATACTAAATGTGTTGCATGATTTCTCTAAGAAGCAGAGTGCAGAAGTGTGCCACGACCGTATCATAAATATTTATTTCCCCTCAATAATGCAGGGGAAAGCACATATACTCATTACATTACAAAACATACTGCCATAAATATCCAAAGAGTGGAGCACCAGGATTAGAGTCTCACTCTAGGGTTAGAAATGTAGAGTTAGACCAGGACAGAGTTTGCCTTCGATCAAAACTGATCCGTGTTGATATCAGCTGACAGTTCTGCTGAATCAGCAAATGTCAGAATGAGCTTTTTACTTAAACCATTTTATCCAGTGACATAGATGATCACTGCTGTCTGCTCTTCTCTGTACCTGGAGTAGGGCTGGGCTATAAACTGAAAATTTACCGATACCAAAATTTCCGTCAATAACCAATGTCATGTTGCCTATATCGGTATATTTGGTGTCAAAAAAGTAAATAAATAAAATTTGGTTTTGGATGTGTGTAGGTAGGCTATGGTCTCATGTCCTTTTAGACGTGACTCCACCCTATCCAGTCTGTAACAAAGGAGGAAAGACAGGTGAGGAGATGGAGGACGGTTCAAAATTTGTAGGGGCTGAAGTAGACGAAGTTAATGTGGGAGGGGATGAGCAGCTTATGGAGTAGTTATCGTCCATTTATCGTTATCGAGGTGAACTGCTCAATATATCGTGATATTGATTTGAGGCCACATCGCCCAGCCCTAACCTTGAGGTCTTTCCTGCTGCGGGCCAGTTCATTACGGACTACAGCGGGGTGACGCAGCTCAAGGAAGAACATTTATGATCATTTCTTCATGGAGACAGGAAGGCAGAAGAGAGGCAAAATGATTAATATGGTAATTATTATTACAAGGAAATGATGAAGTAATGGTCATAAATGTTCTTCCTTGAGCTGTGGCACCCCGCTGTAGTCCGTAATGGACTGGCCTGAGGTCTCGCTACAAACAAGCAGCTGCTGGAGGAGAGTAGGTGAGTTGTGTTTAGTCTCTTTGCTAAAGAAATTAGTCAAAGTTAAAAAGATGTTTGGTGGCTAGGACCCTATATGTACTGTTGATGAAGTTAGGTGCTGTTCTGAACATTATTTGTGGCTATAGGGTTTGGTTGAGGTTTGTTTATGGCTCCTCAGACCACTGTGTATTGCTATCGTGCGGTCGTTACTGAAGTCGGTATAACTAGAGAAGCAAGCGGTCGGCAACATTCATCTCTCGAAGGGGTGTCTAACTATACATTAGCAACTGATTTGATTCACGAGACACGAGTGGCAGCCTCTCCAAATGTTTTTGCTTTTTTCTCTTTTTCTTACTTCCTCGAAGTTACTCTCTAGGTTCCTCTTGAAACCTATTATTCCATCCTTATGGAGATTTTTAAATTCTTAGCAGGATTGCAGAAGCTGAGATTTGGGAAAGATTGCATGTTTTGGTACAGGCTGGCACCCTTACATCGTGTTTCTGTGCACGATATTGGAAACATTGGAGCTGAGTTTTGAGTCTCACTTCCAACAAGTTTGCAGCAGCGTGAACATCTACAGGTAAGAATATTGTGCTCCACTTCACACCTTCGTCTCTGATCTAACCCCCTACCGTCTCATGGCACAGCTTCTATTTCATCTTTGCCGCCCCGTTGGTGCGACTGCTGAGCTGGCACATAAAATTGTGTTTGACAGCTGCTGGTCCGTCTCTTCTCTAATGAGCGCGGTGTAAGTTTGAAACCTTGTTTGCGCTCTTGGCTCCTGGCATCTGGAAAAAATACCAACACAGCCAATCTGTCCGTGTCAAACCAGACATCAGGCAGATGCAAACAGCCAACTGAGTCCAATGACGGCTAAATACACCCTGACCTTTAACTGGTGTAGGAGGGAAGGGCTTCTCTCTGCACTTCCTGCAGGCGACAACATGAAACTGTTCAGTAAAGGACGCAGGGTGAATCATAGTGTGTGTACATGAACCTCCATGGCTGAAAATGTTCTACATGGCTGAGCCGCTGTGCTGCGCTTGCTGGAATGAGCCCACTATCGCTCTCTGTGAAAACTGCTTATCCACATACATGTTTACAGCAAATGAGAAAATGTTGGCTTTGCTGAAAGCGAAGCTCACCCTGAAGGTTATGATAGTCCTGCAAGAGTAAATCTCTGCACCAAATCACAAACTCTGACCTCGCTTATGGAGGATTCATTTAACGGTTTTGTTCATATATGATCCTAAAAGTGACATTTGACGTCCACCGTAAGGAATCCAGGAGTCCTGCGGTCCCGGTGGAGCTCCTGTTTTAATATCCTCTGTGTGCTGCGATCAGCAGATGCATCAGAGTGATGATGATCCGCTGAGTAGAACAAAACTGTGTTAAATGGGCTCCAGGCTGGGCTGCTGTGAGGGGCCGGCACAGAGCGGAGAGGTGGACCAAGAAATCCATCCGTGTGGATCAGAATGTTTGCGTGAACAGATCCACCAAAACCAGGAGACTTCAATCCAGAGGGTCCTGACAGGCTGCATGCATGTAACATCCCATCATTCACGTCTCCCTGAACAGGAGCTCTCTCTTCTTTCATGTGTGTTTAATCCTCTTTTGTACGACTTGTTCATACTCTCTGCTTTTTAATCAGGATAATGAGGCTCAGACTTTTTCCCTTTTCCCACAGAAAAAGCTGGAAAACCTGACTAATACTCCTCCTTTTAAAGAGGGGTGGTCTTCTCCATTTGTTTACCGTTTAAAGGTCATCTTTTATTGCAGTGTGAAGGTTAAAGATAAAGCATCGTGATTGGGGTTTATGGTCCATGATACCTGAGATTGTCCAAGCAGGAAATCCATTTTGAGCTGAGGACGCAAGGATGCATCCTCAATCCTTGAAATATGTAGAAGTCATGAGGCGCTTTTTCGTTTATGGATGAAAAATAGTCACGATTAGCACCTTGATAAAAGCTGAGATTAATTCAAGTTAGTTACTAAAAAGTGCAAATTTTCACATCAAATCTACTAAACTAATTCTGAAACATTTAGCGAAGAACTTAAAAGTTAATTTTCAGAATAAATTCGAGAAAAGGATCATCTTCGTGAGGCTGGTTTTGATATAAAATGACCCACTTTACCTAAAAAAAAAGCTTTTAAATTTGTCCTAAAAAATCAGAAATATAAATTTGAAAGCAACTATTCTTCTCCTTTCCTCTAATCAAAGCTCTTTCTCTCTCTCCGTTTTTAAATGATGAAGCTCTCAATGAAAACACTTCCGATAGGAGACTTTCTTTTTTTTTTTTTTTTTTGCAGTGCGGCATCGTCGAACCCTTTATGCTGCTCAGCAGCCGCAGTAACAGTTAACAGGATTAGCCATGGCTTACATAAACATCTCCCATGGCAACAGTGCACTGGCGCCAGAAAAAAAAAAAAAAAGCGAGGAGAGGAGCTGTCACCGGAAAACATCACCATCCATCTGGTCAGCTGATTGTCAGCTGGCTCTGATGTATGGTGTTTACATCTGTGTGTTTCCTGTGCATGTGAAATGTGTCCATCATGGACATCTCTCGTTTTAACCGATCAGAAATCAATCCGAGAAACTGATTTTTTTTATTTTTGTTTGCTTGATGAGGTGAAAGACTGCCGTTCAGAGGATCTTCTGTGCAGTCTGCATGGTTGTGATTAAGTGCGTCTATATTTCGTAGCCTGCCAGTGTTGTGACAATCTGGCAGCGATGCCTGAAGTTGTGTCCCGGTGGATATACTGGGCCTTTAGAACGGTTCGTTTCCCATAATTCCCCCAGGAGAGGCACATTGCTCACTGCCTCTCCTGGCGTTGGCGTTGAAGGAGAATAGAGGTCTCTGCATCCCTCTCTTTCTCTCACGCTGTTTTCCTTGAAATGCCTCTGCCGATATCCGGACAACATTTCCGGTCCTGTTAGATGGAGAATTAGGATGGTTTGGCTAGCTTGTTCTCTTCGCTGAAAGTACAACTTCATATCTGGAGGTTTAAAACAAGCTAATGGGAGTTACAGCCACGGTTTTGCCTTGTAGCCATACAAATTTTCACTCCTAAGGTCAAAGGAAGGTTGATTTTCTCTCCCAAACCGCATTGAAACCGATGAATAATAAACATGTTATCCCCATGAATAATGCAGGTCATGCTGGCTTTTTTGGTTGCTGTAATTCGTGACCTTTTGGTCCTTATTTGAAAAATGTCACGAAACAGTTACAGCAGTCTGAAGTTTCCCTAACAAGCTTCTTTGCTCCGGGGAAATACAGGACGTAAAAACTATCAAAGTTAACACGCTCAACTTGTGCATCCAGAGGAGGCTAATCCAACTGTTTCAGAGAGCATCAAGGTGGAGTTCAGGTGGGGTAACTGTGCAGCCTGTAGTTTTAGACCTAAACGACCTGAATTATTCTCCCAGAAGTCAGTGTTGTCTCTCCATCCACCTACAGTCTCTGCTGTTAATTTGACCCCCTCCCTCCTCTTCCTCTCTCTTTCTCTCTCTCAGCTTTGCTCTGTCCTTTCCCTTTTGTCCCCTTCCCTCTCTTCTCGCTGCCTCTCAGTCGAGATAAGGAGATTTAGAGGAAAGGGAATTGCTCCGATGCCTGACGAGTGGGAAGGGTTTTTGTCCTTGCTCGTTTTTTTTCTTTCCGTTTCCCGAATGTTCTTATTTGCTTAAACAGACGGCTGACTTTGGTGTCACTGTGTAAATTTAATGTCACTCAGATTGACGGTTAAGTGTGTCCTCTGTTCTGAACATTTCGAATCTAAAACCACGGGGTCGTTGCTTCTAAAAGATTGGAAGAGTTTCTAGTTCGGTAGGTGTGTTTGTTTGCAAAAAAACACAAAGCAGTACCTTAAGAAACCCCCCAATTTTCACCACATCCGGAACGACTCTGATCCGGAATGGCGGCGATTTTCCCACCGGATCCGTTGGTGGGGCAAATTTCGTGGTGGATTACGGACAGCAGTAATCACAAGAACTAACGAGAACCCGTGGAATCACATGCAATCGCGCGGTAACGATTTCTAGACTTGTAAAATCTAGCCTGGCTGGGCCATCCTGTTGCGTGAATCACTTGCCGTTCCTTCCCACAACAGTCTGGACTTCGGCCCATTGGGAGCGTGTATTCCCGATCAGAAAATAACCGGGCCAATCAGAGACCGTGTTTCCACTGTTACCCGGACAACAGGGAAAGGCAGCCCCTGATTGGTCCATGTGTAGATGGCGACGTCTAACACACGCTGCGGGACTTTTCAAAGCGCCGTTCATTCAGAACATCGTTGTTTCTGCAGTTGACTTTGCAAAGTCAGCAGAAATCGTTTATATCCGCAGAAGACTTCGGATCTAAACGATTTATGCCGACTGAACAAAAAGAAGCCGGTTGAAACTGACACATTAACTTGAATGGTCATGATCAGCTGCGATCTGCAGTTACGGCCTTTTCCTAACTGTTCCGGATGTGGTGGAAATTTGGGGTAAAATCTTACTCAGCATATTTGATATTTACAATTTGAAGTTGGGGAGGCCGAGCGGAGAAGAACGACTCTTAACACGCCCCACACCCTCGGGATAATCTAGGGATCGGGCTTTTGTTCGAGACCCACATCGACATAAATGTCTTGTGGTGTGCGCCCCACTTTTGAGTCCTTCACTAATTTCTTTGTCAACTCTTATGGCGCGTTCACACCAAGCAGGAGTAAAATCATCTACCCGCTTAATTCTCACGAATCTAGACACGTCAATGAATAGTATTTACTCGCTTTATTTGCGCGTCAACCGTTATTTCAACGGTAATCCCTGCCAATTCAACAGGCGGGATCAAGTGATAGACAATTTTTTTTTACAATTTACTCCTTTTTATTCCGGTTTGGGCAATCGAAAGAAAAGGTATCATATAATTTGGACTGACACGCTCAGTTGTCTTCCATTTTAGATACCAGTGAACAACCGTCTGTCTTCATCCGTCACCCGGCAACCTTCTTGCTGATTAGTTATCATGACGCAAATATCTGCTTAAGTTGAGAAATTTTAGCTTCTGCCGATTCGCGTCATTCGCCCCGCCAGAGTAGTACAAGCGTCGAATTGCGACTTTGCATTGACCAAACGTAATTCATTCGAGCGAATGATTATACTCGCGCTTGGTGTGTGGAGACAGTGAAACTACTTTTGTGCGCTGTAAAATGATCAATCTATTCAAAGCAGTAAATATCAATTTATCACTAAAATAATCAATTATTAAGGCCACCCACCGAGGCATGAATCTACCGTAAATCTTCGTTGTGCCTTTTAGTGTCAGTTGCATGTACTCAGACTGAGACATTGTGTTTAACAACATTTCTAATCACCGTAGCAACCTTAAGTCCATGCTCGTTCAGGTTTCTCCGTTTCCTAGGTGTTGACGAGATCTCTGCTAAGATTTTTTGTCACTCAATCAAATCCAAACGGGTCCAGACAGATCTCTGCATCTCTTCTCGGCTCAGTAATTACAGGGATTAGAGTGTTTTCCTCTGAGTGTGTGTGTGTGTGTCTCTGCCTGAACTCCTACAATCTGAAATGCATGTTGGGTGATTATCCAGAGGACATTCGGTCTCGACTCTGTGTTCTCTCCCTCTGGTTTCATGCTTATTATCCTCAGCTCTGCAAATTGCTCCCATCCTGATATCACATTGCTGAGTCTTGCTTTACGGATGAACTGGATTGGAGTGGACTGTCACTTTGCTTTAAAGTACAACAGAGCCTCAGCACTCTGTGTTCAAATCCAGGCCTGTGATTGGTGATAAATGTGTATAATTAGACTGAGTAAGGGCCCGTAGTCTTCCCATTGATTTCTCGGCTCATTTAGGGAATTAAGGGGTCTGAAAATTCCTAAGCACAGCAGACAGGATGGGGGGATTAAATGCAGAAGGTCCCATCGTTCAAGGTCTGAAACCTGCGTTCTTGCATTGTTTCATTTTCGTTGAAATCCTTGTGGTTGAGGTTTCGAAAAAGCTGCCAAACCCGACCTCAGAAAGCGATCCGGTTCAATATTTGAAAGCGGTTTTACTTGATATGATTCGTCATGATTGATCGTTTTCTTTATCCGGTGTCAATTGCAGATAATCAATCACAGCAGAGATGGATCCGTCCGACATTGTTGTCCTATTTACTGCTGCTGCCGCCTCCGAAGGGGGGAGTGTATGGTCCAAATACTGTGTTCACCTTGAGATGTCTCCCCTGGCACTGGCGTGTTTTGTCGACCACAAGGGGGTCTTTAACCTACATAGGTAGCTACATTAGCGGGGCTAAAAGCACGCCACAAACCCAACTGGAAAAGAGCCAAATCAGCAGCAGGACGTGAGCTATGAGCTGGATGTTCCAACATAAGGGAGGAGGGGGGAGATAGCTTCCCCTCCGGCTTTTTCCAAGCTTGTTCCAAATGAAAATAGACACAATACACCGTCCTGCTGCTGCTGTGTTCCCGGCACACATCCCAGGATGACCAGAAAGAGGACGAGGAATTTGATTTTATAGCTTTTTCAAAGACGAAACCACATTGAAAATGACATTGATAGCTTTTTTTGTGTGTGTGTGTGTGTTTGCTTTATGGC